TTGGGAAGGCAGCAGGAAGTTGCCTCGCCTAATGACCATGGGATTCAGTTAATGATGGCAACCAGGACTACAGGGATTGCTTTACGACCGCATCACTTAGTAATGGAAATTCTGGTCCCAATTACTGTCATAAATCGAGGACTACCTGTACCAGATAAAGATTTCATAAACAGATATTTCTAAAATGTTCAGTGGAAATTGATAGTTATTTCACTGGTCATGATCAGGTAATGTTAATGCACAGAGGGTGCTGACAGGCTGAGAAAAGATGGAGGTAGATAAAATTCTTCTTTTAACTGGAAATCAAATTAATTTAGAATACCTAAACATAAACTTTCTAAGTAGACACAGTAAAACAACTCAGACTACCTGTAAATTGCAGTGCAGTCACTGAGTCCTGAAAATCCCCTCTGATTCTGAAATTTCAGAAAATATTTCCTGGATATTTCCAAGAACCCTCTTCAGTGTCATTAGGCCTAGAAATCTTTTAAAAATAGGTAATATTCTTATGACACTGACTTTTGCATCCAGAACAAAATACACTTTTGGGGGGGGGGCTTATTAATTGCTGCAGAATAAGCATACCCTTGTTAAAAGTCCTGATATTTTAAAGAGTGTCTGACAGTAACATTCATGGATAGGACACAGCTTTGTATCAGGTTGGATTACTCACCCATCTAAAAAAGCTATGAATACCTTCTCAGTGACAGCAGATTTCTGGGGTCTCAGGTAAAGATCTTTTATATCACCTGGTTCCTGAAGCTTTCCAAAGGTAATTGGAGATACAAAGATGGAGTATAAGAACTGCGACATGCAAACCATGTGCGGTATTATAGAGCTAGTAAGCCTCTCCGGTTTTTAGATGTGAGATCAAATGTAATGTCATGAAGTACATAACCATCAATAGAGATCTTTGATTGCAGTAAAAGGCAATTTAATAAATAAATTAGGTCAATAAAGCTTCATCACATGGCGGCTTTCAGTTGGCCCACAGAGCACTTGGAGACAAGCATCAATTGTCTTTTTTTTTAAAAAAAAAAATTGAGTAAAGTACAACAGCTTGCATTCATTTTACAACATCAAAAGCCATAAACCAGAGGCAGGCAATTTTTTGCAGGTGGGAAGAGCTTTTATTTTAGGCAGGTGAAGGCAAGAGAGGCTGGAGTAATGATATTATAAAGCAGGGTTCCTCAGCCTTGGCAACTTTAAGACGGGTGGACTTCAACTGCCAGAATTCC